TATTCTGTCGATGGTAGAAAGCCTGTTCGAAAACCGACCTGTTTCTAACTGATGATATTTCGAGACTATTACGAATACGGTTATAAATGAGGCACGTGATGACCATGTAAGTTTTTGACAGCAGTGTAACGGTCCGCTAGTTTTTCAGGTCTCAGGAGAAAAATCGTTCTATATGTATTTCACACTTTTTGGCGCCTTATCATGCCATATATATTTCGTAAGACACTTAGCAAGTGCTGTAAACAGGATTGTTGCTCCCGGTTCCTTAAGGTATTTCGCTCGTATATCATATGCCATTTTTACTGTATGGACTTAACCTCGTCCCAGAGAAATTTGGTACCGGCTTCTGACGCAACGTACTGATCCAGCACTGATGACTTACATCGGTGATTTTATCCGTATTTTGTCAGTCAGTACATGATCGATTTACATAAAAGACTTCGTCTGGGTTTCGCCATGAACTTGCTTTGGAACTTTCTCGGAAACGGTGTTCTTGAAGTGCAGATGGCTGCTTTCAGCGAAAGTTGCCAAGCGACCTCCACGATTATTTGTTCCACGTTTTCAATAATTGCAGATAAATACCTGCGTGTCGTTCGTCCTTTTCTTGGCTACTGCACTGAAGTCTTCTTGGGCAGTCGTGTTATATACACGTTATAACTTGTAGAATTGCGTAATCTCTTCGTATTAAGCTTGTTGCGATGGGTTGTACGAGCGGATAATTTTTAATGCCCTTATTTTACTCCAGAAGAATTTTTCTTCTGCAGAAGCAAAATGGTCATATGACAAGATATGATATTACAGCTCAGCACGAAATGTATAATTTTTCTTTTCATTATTAACCCAACTCCCGTTTGTCCTAGCTCGGTTCTTGAAGGCATTCCCGATGTCTTAGACTTAGAGTCAGTTCGATAACAGTTTCCTCATGCAGGCCTTCATCACGGTTCAAAATCTTAATCGTCTTTCCGCATCGTTGTGACCATCTCGATCAAAGATAAAGCAATATCTCGTAAACGAAATGACATAACAACGCAACTGACTACATGGATAATGTGACGTCTGTCGAACCGTCAGTGATCATGCTATAAAACTCGATAGCGCTGAGGGTACACCGTATAAAATGCTTCCTGAGTTTTCCTGTTTGAAACCTACTGAAATATGTAAGGTGCTGAGCCAAGCCATTTACTACCACGCATCTCACTTAACAACTCACTTCTTGTCAAAGTAGCAGTGAAAACCAATAAGCACTAAGCAAGAAAATGGTGGTTTATGAAGCAAATTTCAAAGCCATTAAAGTGTGTTCCTTCATCCAGAATTTTCAGCGTTTGCTGAATTGCATCGTCGCCTACTGTTTGCATGAGACGTATTTTCTGGTTATTTTGAGCCGTTTTAGTACAGTGGGGCCATGAAAGGCAGATGATGACGAAACGATATTGAACATTGTTGGTTTGAATATTTCAGGGTTATTTGGCAAAGTCCCCTCTGTTCTATGGGTACTACAGTAACGACGAGTACATACTGGACAACGTACATTACAGACTTCCGTTGGCTTACTTCCTAGTCAACCTATGCGTTCTCGGATACAGCTTCTTCGCGATACTCAGAAAGTAACTGTGACGGCGCATAGCCACCGAACACCTGTTTGTCAAACGATACTTTTGCAGGATGGCTTCGAATGCCAGGAACAGCAAATTGAGCAGCGGAAAGACCGAGGAGTACAACTTTTCGTGGCTGGTGTTCGCAAATTGGGATTATACGATTGGCAATCCGGAAACTGCCGGCAACACGATGATGGCCAACGTTACGAAACTTAGAGTAAGTTCGGTTTTGTTTCACGGCTGACCGCTTTCGGCTGATGTTCCTCGAAGCAGAATCATTCGAGACATGTACCTTATACCGTAGCCACTCATGCAGTTCGTTCTTTCATCTCCAGAATTACCGTCGGTTTCTCCTGAGGGTTCTCCTTACACTCGACGGCTGTTTTATCAGTCGTTCTATCAACCTAGTCATCCTGCTTGCACCTGCCAATTTTTCGTTTCTGAAGCCCAATTCTTCTGTAGAGCATTTCCCCGTCACTCATACAAAGTTGTAGTTTCAATTGTCCAAAGCACGTGGACATGTTTCCCACCAGTATTCCCGCTGCCATTATAAAATGCATGGTAAAACTAATCAAAACGTTTTCTTTATCGTTCATCTATAAAACCACGTCATTTGTTTTTCGATACGATGTGCTGCTATAAATGTTTTCTACTAATATTTATGTTCGTCTTTACAAGAACACAAACGTTAGAATGCTCTCACTTCATCAGTGTAATTAAACATCCTTTGCCGGAGCATCTTGGTATCTTTCCACGTCGCGTCAGTGTCATCTACGCTTTATGCCCTGAGCTAAATGGAATTTTTTGTGCATTGAAAATTGTATTTAAATCAGCAGTTATGGTTCTTCTTTCCTTTAATTGCACCTTTGGACCATTTTGCACCCCTCTTTTCATGAAGTTGATGCTGCGGTTCTGATCTCTGATTCTGTGTAATCAGTTTGAACTGCCTCATTGCAAGGGCAAAATTTGCAACCATGTGGCAAGCATATGGGCATGCAATGTTTTGTTTCATTCCCATAGAATGGAACTCATTTATCAACTTTGCAAGGAAGAAAAACTAGTGACCCAGCTGCTTACATAGCTTGTGTTGAATGATCTGTCCATTTATAGTAGGCTACAGCGAATTAAGATGATAATTAAAATACAGCACATAAACGGTTTAATTATTCATAGCACAATACAGTGATGAAAAAATCAAAGTAAGGTTTCTCGACATTCATTTACAACGAAGCGGTGGTCTACAGCGGTTAATTCGAGTCTCGAAGAAGGCCCGTGAAACAAAGGCGGAAACATCGGTTCTGGTCTACCATTTCATAGACAGCTGCGTTATGTTGCTCATAAATGGCCTATTTTCGACTGTTTCCACCTGTATTAAAATTCTCACTCTAGTTTCAGTCGAAACTTGCATGCCCTCAACGACCCCTAATCACAACAGCTGCCTGACAATTTCTTCATTTCACAAGGTTCATGTCCATTCGCTACAATTTAATTTTGTTCATTCAAGACTTTAGACTTGAGCCGTCGCGATTGCGCTTGAAGAGAGTTGATGAAATTACTATCCTCCCAGTTGGTGGATACTTGAAGACTTTTCTGAATATAACAGGAAATTGAAAAAGCTATTTGATTGTTTCGAATCGCATAGATCTATCCTGTACCTGCGAGAATACGCAGAGTGGAACCATTCCAACAGCTTCTTCAGCTCTGTGTTATTATATTCTTCACGGCGTCTAACAGGTGGAACAATAGTCCTGTCATCGGCATATTTCACATGCAATCGCGATGCTTCAACTTTAAACCCAATGGTAGTGCCATCTTTCCAATTGCCTGATACCATGAAATTTTTGAAGGATATAGCAGGGTCGTGAAGAAGCTCTTTGAATGATCCCAATCACATGAGGTTATCCAGAACTTGTGAGAATGTGTGTGATGTGTTTTTATTCTACGAACCACGGCCTCGTTAATCTTGCTTGAGAAGATATTTGATATATTCCAAATTGAATAATGCTAAATCCTTTAGCATGGTCATTAGCGAGAAGTTAGTATAATCTAATAACATGTTTATATCTTCAACAATGTCAGAGAAATAAACTTTAACTTTAGCAGTTTGAGCTTACTTGGAGCCATCTTTGATTCGCCCTTACTGCTTCAAAATTACCGTATGTGCTCAATCTCATAGGCGCATCTTTATTCTGCCACAGAACCGGTCAATCAATCAGTATCTATGAAAATTTATGCACTCATCTCATGAATGCAGATGTGTCATACAGCGTTTGCAACGTTCCCGATACTGTGAAGCGTTAGAGATGTGTAGAAGATAACTACGCGTGGAGCAGAGTCTGTCGATACACTTTAACTTAGGCAAGTAGTAGCTGTTTCGAATCCTTCCTTCCTGGATACATTCACCACACGTGACCAGACCAGTAAATCCTTAACTTCCCAATCTGGAGAAGCAGCGACTGTACACCAGGGCTATTTCGAATATCCAAATTTTGGACTGCGTTGAGAAGTTTCAGCCCAGCATTTTTTCTCAGAAAGCGCATGTTAGCCCCTTCTACCCAAGGTCAAAGTTTCTTGAATCGGATGAAAATCGACTTGAGCACAGAGACCGTAGTCTTCAGAACCAGCTGTGCTTGAGTCAGCACGGTTCAGTCAAGTTCACATTCAATGCCGCATGGCCATTCTACTCCGCCTGTCAATCTCAGTTCTCGATCCATAGCAGGTCCGCTCCTCCAATTTTTCATCACCGGTAAATACAATGCTGAGTTACTTGAACTTCTCCACCTGCTCCACTGCCTCTCCGTTAATCTGAAGAGAGCAACGGGCAGGAGAA